TAAGCCCTGCCATATAAATAGAACTGGGATGATTGAACACTTCAAGAAAAGATAATGTTGTATTAAAATAAAACTTACAACAAAGCTAACTGTAATTTGTTTATTGCTATGCCAAGGGATAATTAGTTAAAATGGTCATTAGTATTGCCCTCATATAATTAAAACCAAGTGCTACCATAGTCATCTAGGAGGAAAGAGGTGAGCAGAAGAGAAAACTTTGAGGTCCTTCCAACCTCCTTGGTTCATACGCAGGAGAGTACCAGATGGAGGCTTTAATGTGCTAGAAGGCCCTGACTAACAGTATCACACGGGGTCAAATATTGGAAACACCCCTGTCTCCCTGTCATTGGATCTCAGGTTGGCCAGACCTTAGGAAGCAGGTGGAACCAGGAAAACTCACCATTGATAAGTATCCCTTATTGACTATTCCAAAGTTAGAATATAAATGACATTGTTTTATATGTTTAAAGGTGGTCGCCTAACTTCACCGTACACATTCCCCATAGTCTACCAAGTTTTTATGATGTTTTACCAGATGTAACAAGCTTAGCAAGTATATTGTCCCTTTAGGATATAAAAGAATTGGAATGGGGATGAGGCCAAGGTGGGAAGAAGGGGCGGGATGGATAAGATAATCAATTAAATAAAATCGTATCATTTAGTGAGCCCTGGTGGTGCTGTGGATTAGGAGTTGGGCTGGTAACAGCAAGACGGTGGCTCAAATCAACTCGCTGTTCTCGGGGAGAAAGACGAGCTCCAGTAAAGATGTACAGTCTTAAAAACACTACATATAGGGTCAGAATTGACTTGGTGGCATTGGGAGGTTTTTTGTTTTTGTCTACTCCTCTACCAAGTGGTAAAATTATCGGAGAGAATGGAAACGTGGTGAGGAGATAAGGGGGAGTGATGACATACTGACTAGACCAGCAGAAGCAGTAATTTCAGAACTCTGAGGAACTGATTGAGAACTGAAAATAGTGTATTTGGAGCAGCCAGAGAACAACATGCAGACTCAGGCAAACAGGCAAGCTTATTTGAAGATAAAGAAAGCAGGCAATAGACAGAAATGTGGTCCCAGAGCACTTAGTAAGGAAAAGACAGTAAAAGACACAAAACCAGAGGGAGATGGGAGCAGGATCAAAGAAAGGTATTTTTATTTTTTAAGTGTAGGACTGTGTTACAGAACAGAAAGTACCACAAATGGGAGTAAGAATAAGTTGGAGATGGGCAACAAACGCCAATTTTTCAAAGGAGGATTTATGCCACCTTTGAAAGCAGTTGGCTAGTTATTTATAGAATGTTTTGTAACTTATTATGTATGGTAATTAAGAGGTTCCATGATCTTGGTAGCACTGATTTTTTAAAACCTATTTTCCCACTAAAGGAATTCCCATAAGTATAGCCAGGTCCCCTACATATGTGCCTTTTTATGTCTTAGACATTTTCTTTCTAGCCCACGCCCACATTTGAAGTGAGAATAGTATTTTAACTACCACATATAATTGAGTATAAGCTGACCTGAATATTAGCTGAGGCACCTAATTTTACCACAAAAAAATGCATTAAAAATGCTGGGAAAACTGGGCTTATACACAAGTATATCTGTACCTAAAGGTGAAGACGTGTCTTCTTTCTCCTGTACCTGCTTGCAGTGAACGGTGGCCATTTAGGACTCGAAGCCCTCTGCCCTGTGACTTTCCTCCTTTGTCAGCCGCTCAAACCAGTATTGAGGTCTGGGGCTAAGGAATCTGGAGGGGGTTTGTTTTTTTCCCTCTTAAGCCTTCCTTTTTTTTTATTTTTTTAACTACCTCCTACCCCTAGAGTATCTTCTGATACTATCCTCAAGTTATTATGAATCCTGAGTTGAAAGTTTTTGAGTTTTAGACTTATTATAATTCATAGTAGCAATGATAACTTCCCAGGCTATCCCCTGTATTCTGGTTTGTTTGTTTTTTAAGAAAATGGCATGAGAGGTCTTTATAAGCAAATGAACCTAAGGAGAAATTTGGGTCTAAATAAGTATATTGTTCTAATAGAGATAAAAAGTGAGAACTGGAACTTTTTTTACTATCCAATAAATTGATGTCAGAATCATTATAAATTGTCTAAAGCCAAACACACTGCTGCTGAGTGGATTCCAACTCTGCCCTGTAGGACAGAGGAGAGCTGCTCCATAGGAGACCCAAGGCTGTACACCTCTGTGGAAGCAGACTGCCTCGTCTTTCTCTCTCAAAGGGGTTAGTGCGTTTGAAGCACCAACTTTTGGGTTGATGTGCTTAATCCATTAAAAAGATTCTGAAAGAGTAAAATCTCCAACCAATTGAGGTATTTGGTTCTGTTAATTAAAATTCTAATCTATTATAGTCAACTGAGCTGATAACCACAAGATCAGCAGTTCAAACTCACTAGATGCTCCATGGGAGAAGGATGAGGCAGGCTGCTCTTGTAATGAGTTATAGTCTTGGAAGCCCTATTCAGGGTCACTGTCAGTCAGAAGCAACTAGATGGCAGGGGGCTTGGCTTGATATCTTTGACCTAACACATTGTTTCATTTTCGGTGTGTTAGATGTGGAAGAATGGGTAGGTAGATTTTAAAAGAAGCCCACCAACTGCTCCCTGGGAGAGGCATGAGGCAGTCTGCATAATAACACAAGAGTGGATTTAGTTTGTTTCTGAATTAAAGTCTGACTTGGTTAATAAAGAATACCACATCCTGCATTCATACTTTTTAAAAAAAAATTAATTCCTAGGATAGTAAGGTCATTACCATGGATTTGTTTGATTGCCTAAGAAAAAGGTTGTGAGGGAAAAATTAGACTGATTAAAGTAAAATGGCATAGGATCTTCCGGTTTCTCAGTGAGAACCAAAAAGCTACGAAATTTTATTGTGATAGAACAGCATCTCTTAAAACTTGGCCTTTAGGGCATTGGTTTTTCAGCTGGATGATCTTCCTGTTGAAGAGGAAAAAGTAAAGCGTAATATTGTCTGTTTTGAAACTTTAATAAATCTTAACATTAGTTTATTCCTTTTCTTAACAGAATGCCTTATCATTAATGTCTAATATTATATAAAAGCTATTTAAGCACCCAGCTTTAATAAATCAACCTGGGTCTGTACATCAGAAAGTTACTGTGTTAAAACACTATTTCTTTACCAAGGGTGTAGGGGTTTGTGGAAAGAGGACTTACTGCTTAATAGGTGCAAGTACCTTTTGGGGTGATAAAATGTACAGAACCAAGTAGAGGTGATTGCTATATAATACTGTGAATGCACTAAATTATGAACTGTCAAAAAATTATACTCTAAAGGGGTTCTGTGGGATATGAAATTTGCCTCATTTGAAAAAAAACAATATTATCCAACTTTTTTTTTATCTAAGCCCTGTTAATTATCAAAATGTTTATTGTGACTTAGAGAATAATGTCTTCCTGTAGCTTGTATGGTTATATAAGTTATGCTTTCAAACTGACATTTGAGTGAAAATGAGTGTGTTAGTCTGGGTACTTTAGAGAAACAAATCCACAGCAACTCATATATAAGAGAAAGTTTTATATAAAGGTTAAGTGCACATCAAGAAAACATCCCAACGCAGTGCTGCCAAGGCCACAAGTCCAACATTAACCCGTATGTTCAACACCAGTCCACAAAGTCCTCCTCCACCTCATAAAACAGACGCAGTGATGCCGACTGCAGGAGGAAAGCTGAGTCAGTGAATGTGTAAACATCTCAGTGCTGGCAGGGATCTCCACACAGGTGCTCCAGCACCCAGGGCTGCATCGGGGTAGGTCCATGTGGCTTCTCCTCAGGGATGTCTTGCAGGAAGTGAGCCTTGCCAGCTAAAGCAGGTTATTAGCTAAGACAACTGCACCCTGGTCCAACCATCAGAAAGCAAGAGACCCGAGAACTAGAAAGGCGAGGCTCACCGAGCCATTTAATCCCTCTGCCCTTTAATTAACCCCACATGTGTTTATCGGCCAGGTTGGCACAATAGACTAACTACCTCAATGAGTAAACACCTGATGAATGCTGGAATAACAAGCACAAACCATGGTGACACCAGGCAAACCAGATATCCAGTTGAAGCATCAAAAATGAACATTAGGTGTTTTCTATACTGCTGTTTGCTGTCCTTCTATATCAGACTGAATATTATCTGAAATAACTCCCTAAGACTCATATATATAAATTGATTCTCTGAAGAAAAGCAGTCTGTTAAATAGTTGACAGAGGTGATCTTCCCAGCTGGAGGTAAAAAGCCTATTTCAAACTTTTAGAAATAAGTATTCGTAAAACTGAAAACCCTCCATAGGGCCTGCAAGACTGTAACTCATTACAGGAGCGGGCATTCTCATCTTCCTCCCACGGAGTGGCTGGTGGGTTTGAACCACTGACCTTGCAGTTCCAGCCAGGTGCTTAGCCCACAGTGCTACCAGGCGCTCCTAATAAATAGTCTTACTGAGCTAAAAATGAAATACTGTTGAACAGAAACATTTTACCTTTTAATAACAATTTAATTTTAAGCACATGTTTCTTAAATCCCATTTTCACCATCGTGAGGATAGTTATTCTCCACTTGTTGGGTTTTGACCCAACAGAGTAGTTGAGCAATGTGGTTCCATCTACCTTGAATCACCTTCTCTGTGCTATGACATCACCATCACCCTCAATCCCTGTAGTCAAAACTGTCAGATTAGTATGGGGAAACCTGATATAGTTAAGCTAATAAAAGATTGGAATCTGCTTACTCTCGAACTTTTGGCCACTATCTTCGCTCAAGGTGTACCTTTTGTTGTCATGCATGACTTAATTTGGGGAGATAAGAGCCTTTTCTGTGTACCCCAACATTTCTGCAGACTTAGTCTGTGAATTAATCCATTGAGATGTGTAAATTTATCATGTCTTCTCTGTTAAGCCAGCATTTTGATGTAATATGTTATGCTTATTGTTACTTATAAAGTTAAGAGTAGGCTCTAACATTTGTGTCTTACCTTTTCTCTAGAACTGTCAAGTAATCCACCTCTGGCCACCATCCTTATTCCTCCTCATGCTCGGATTCAAGCAGCTGCTTCAACCCCTACCAATGCCACAGCAGCCTCAGGTGAGAACACATAAGTCTCTTCTGTGAAAACATACTCTGCTTTTAAGCATGGCATGCTCACCAGTTCATTTTATTTTATGTGAGCAAGTCTCAAAAACAGCAAAGCCAAATGCATGGATGTGAAGGGAATGTTGGTTTTATTTCCAAAAACCACAACAGGACCGCATGAATACCAAATACGTAGTATCTCTGGATATTTTATTATAATGTTAAATTTTGTTCATCTTAGTTATTTTAATGCTTTCTTGCATTATATCTTGATTAATATGTGTCTAGTGAGATGCTTATGGCAGAAAACCGTCTGTACAAGTATAAAAGGAAACCATATCTGGAAGAAAACCCACTTTAATCCATCACGCTGAGGGTAAATTATACTGGTATACTGGAACAACAAAGTTCCAAGAAATAGAAAATATTGGCTGGTGTGATTTTTATCACTCAAAGAGGATAAAACTACAGTGCTAGTACATTTACGTAAGATTTAGGCCTGAATGTGACCAGACTCTTATCTACGCCTTACCCTAAAACGTGTCCGCTTTCAGGTTAGAGCTGCAGTACCCTAGTGGTCTCTTCACTGGTGGAGCCTGTTGGTGGGAATCACTGTCTTTACAGATACTCTCATACCATTCAAAGATGGGCTGGATACAATTTAAAGTAAAGTTAGAAATGTGATAGTAGCACAGTTAGGGCTTTCCCCATCCCCGGCCCCCCAAAAAGTAGATTTCAGGAACTGTCTTCATTTTCACTTACTTGTATAGCAAATTGAATTGGATCTGACCCAGTTTTGTATAAGGACATTTATGTTTCAGGAGATCAGAGTTCATCTTTCTAAAGGTCAGAGTTCATCATATTACCTGGCATTGAGTTGTTACGCTACTATCTTTTAAAGCAATGGTTGCTAACAATGATCTAAAATATTTCATTCTAATTCATGCCCTACTCTCTTTCTGGGGAAGGGAAGTGGATTTTCTAGTTCCAGAAGGTCTGTCATCAAGTGTGAGGTTGAAGTCAATTGAACTCTTGTTTTTTTTAAATCATTTTATTAGGGGCTCATACAATTTCTTATCACAGTCCATACATACATCAATTGTGTAAAGCACATTTGTACATTCATTGCCCTCATCATTCTCAAAACATTTCCTCTCCACTTGCCCCAGGCATTAGGTCCTCATTTTTCTCCCCACTCCCTTATGAGCCCTTGATAATTTATAAATTATTGTTTTGTCATATCTTGCCCTGTACTACTCTTGTTTTTGAATGGCATTGTTGTCCTAGAGTGATGTTGTAAAATTCAAAATATCTTTCCATTGTATGTTAAAAATTCTCATGCAGGTTTGTTTGGTGTTTTACTATGACCTACTTATTTAGAACAAAGGCTACATTGTTTAGATGGATTTATTAATAAGTGCCGTTGCAGGTTAGATTGTATTGATTGTTCAGAACTTTGTCCAGAACTAACACATTTACCTGTTGAACTAGCTGTCACTAGTTTTACTAGGCTCTGCTGTGGTTTTAAATAAGAGTTATGAGTGTTAAATGCTGGACAATTTAAAATTTTCTGAATGATTACAATTTTCTGATGATTACAACTAGTTCAGTTTCACACGGAAAGTTTGTTTTTTACAAATTGCCTAGTATAGCCTAGTTTAATATAACTTTTATGTTGATTGGTACCCATTTCAGTAGTTACCAAATATATATACACAAGAGAGAGTAATTGTGCTATATAAAGAGGCTACAAAGTTTGTGGAAAAACTCTCAAAACCCTTTCATACACACCCTTACAGCAATTGCAGTTAGATGTTGGAGTTGGATCATGAGAGTTGCCTTGAAAATTGGTGCAAATAAAGGTGTGAGGGAATTACTAGAGGAAGATCATAGGGTGAGCTCACAGCTAAAATTAGTCCAGGGGCATGTTTGCCTTGACTTCCTTAATAGTTACCAAAGAGGGTTTCAGATGTTCCTCTGAGCTTCCTAATAACTAAAGGAAACAGAAGTGTTTTTTGTTCAAATGACCTGTTGTCTGGATGAATAGCATGCTGGTGACTAAGGAGAAGCAGTGGTTTCTGGTCCTGTTATTTGGAAAATATTAAAATTTAGGGCCACCGATTAGGTACTATGAGATGAAATTCTCATCACATGCCATCGAGAAATGCAATGGTGAGTTTCATATGGTCAGTCTTTAAAGTGCCCTCAGTGTAAGACCACGACAGAACATTTCTGGGTCTGTGCCAAAGTATAAAGAAAGAAACTACTAGGCCATAAATGTATAGGCTTTAAAGACGTGAGAATGACGTTTTCATTTTTGAAGTTTTCAACATCAGAATTTCTAATCACCCAGCCTAGCTAGCTGCATCACCACCGTAATATACTCCCGAAATGGAATGTGCACCTCTAAGTGACTAAATTAGTTGACCTACTTGATCTAAGTCAACGTAATGAAGAGCATACACCAAAATAAAGAGTATGTATTTTAGAGCTGGAGCTACTTTTACTTTATAATGGTGAAACAGGAAATACTTGGCCACTCTCCATAGCTTGAGACTGCGCCTCCAAGTCATCTATAAATGTTGATAGATCATAATGATACAAATCTGAAAAAGAGATACAGCCTTGTTACCTCCATGGCATCTGCCCCCCTGAACCATTCCTGCTGTTGGCGCTCAGCATCACTAAAGCCCAGGCTGTGCAGCCATCAGAAGACAGACTCCTCAGTGAGTCTCAGAAATCTTTATGATGTTTGGACCTGACTCAAACACAAGGGTGTAGTTTTCCAAAACTGATGTTTATCTGAGAACAAAGCTGAATCCCAAAGTATATGAGCTAAGGCAGGAGAACAAAGCAGATTGATGGAGATGTCAGCAGCTGGGTCCACACTGACTGTCGTTCTATCAGTAGCCAAAATTATTAAATGACCCCAGAGAAAGGTTTTGTTAAATGGTAAAGCTACTGTAGGCAAAATGTTGTTTGATATTGTTTCTGGAAAAGCAAAGAAAGTAGACTTTTTCTTATTCGGATGGTAACTTAAAGTCTTATTGAGATTATTCTAGGAAGATGTGCTTAGTTGTTAGCCTCAAGCCTCTCCAAATGACCAATACATGAAATGTTACAATAAAAGTAATTGTTCTCTTTCTTAAAAATGGTACAACTTTCTTAAAGTTGGTGCATCTGTCAAGTTTGGTGATAACAATTCTGACAAAACTGCTTTTGCAGATGCTTAAACTCCTCTTTCCTGTGTTTTGTTCAAGGCTCAGGTAGTGATCGCAGCTAAAGTGGTCAAGGCCTATTGGAAAGCATTGCAGTCAGAGGTCATGTTTTCAGTCCACTGATTCTACTTTCATGGAATTTAAGACATTTAATAGAAGAAAAAAGTTATACATGCAGGGATATGCACAGGAATGATCTTATAATAACCAAGGAGAACCAGTGTGATCTGATTCCGTGTGTTGTAGAATTTTTATCTCAAGGCAACCATTGAAAAAACCATTCTGAAAATTTGTGGGTATTAAGGAAATAGCTCGTGTGGGTGAAATCCAGAAATCTAATCCGCCATGTTGGTAACACTGCCAAAATGTGTGTTTGCGGGTAGACAAGAATACAATACAAATATGCAAAGCAAAAACATTTATGTTAAATGGTAAGGTATGGCTGTTATAGTCTCCAAATATTTTTTTAAATACTTCTGTATCTGGAGGCATCATAGTTTGATCACAGCGATGGTAGACATGAGAACTTCTTGATAAACACGCATGCTGAATAGAAATACAATTTTTGTGTTCCCACACCCCTAGGGAAGTATTGACTTTTTGGGAGACCATCCATCTGGACAACCTAGAAAAATAAAAGAAACTATAGTGTTCCTAATCAATCATGAGTAGAGCCCCTTGGGCATTGGGGCACTAACTGCAGATTGATGGTTCAAATCCACCAGCCATTCAGCAGGAGGAAAATGAGCCTTGGAAACCCTATGGGACACTTCATCTCTATCACAGCTAGTCAGGAGAAGTGTACATAAAATAGCATTAGAGAGATGGGAAGGAGAGAGAGGTAATAAAGGAAATACGAGTATGAAATTATACTGAAACTTCCCAGGCATACTTATAAAGTTACACGCAAGACACAAAAGGCTTGGTATCTCTGAAGTATATTTTCTTTTACTAATATGCCAACAATAAAAAATGTTTTAATCAGTTGTGTAACTATTGAGAACTTGATGGTTTAGAGCAAGCAAAGACCTAGACCAGGGGTCCTCAAATTTTTTAAACAGGGGGCCAGTTCACTGTCCCTCAGACCCATTGGAGGGCCGGATTATAGTTTAAAAAAAAACTATGAACAAATTCCTATGCACACTGCACATATCTTATTTTGAAGTGAAAAAAAAAACAAACGGGGCAAAAACACCTGGCGGGCGGGATAAATAGCCGCATTTTGAGGACGCCTGGGTCCTAGACTTTTACTCTGATTAGTTGTAATTTATTTAAATTTAAATGCCACCTGTAGCTTACCTTTGCTTACCCAGCACCATCGAGTCAATTGTGACCCACAGCAACCTTAAAGGACAGAGTAGAACTTCCCAACTTTGGGTTTCCCAGACTAAATCCTTCCAGGAGCAGAACGCCTCATCTTTCACCCACAGAACAGCTAGTGCGCTTGAGCTGCTGACCTTACAAGTTAGCAGCCTAATGTGTAACCCATGATATCACCAAGGGCCCCGTAATGCCAGTGACCTGTGTAGCCAGCGGCTACCATGCTGAACGTGACGATTAAACCTTTGTCTCATCACAGAAAGTTCTGTTGGCTCTAGTGCTCAGCCAGACAGTGAGCATTTCTGTAAATTAAAAGACTTCCACGTTACGTAGAGCCAGTACAGAGTCATGAGGGTGGACAGAGCCTTCAGTGTTTCTCCTGTGTTTTCCTCTGGGCATTCCTCCCCGCCTGTTGTTTTCTCCACTTGTTTAAACCCTTTGATAACATTTGCTAAGGCTTAAATAAAGCAAGCTTGGAGGGATGTCAATTCAGAGGGACTGACCATATAGGATAGAGTGGAACTGCCTCCATAGATTTTTCCAAGGCTGGTGGCACTGTGGAATAAGCATTGGGTTGCCAACCACAGAGTCAGCAAGTTCACACTTTCCAGCCATAAAGATGTTTGCTTCTAATAAAGGTTTAAAGTCTCAGGAAGCCTATATAGGGTCAGTATCAGTCAGAATGTACTCTCTGGCAATGGTTTTGTTTAGTTTTTATGGTGGTAGTTGTTTTTTAATCTTTTAAGAGAACAGATTATTAGTTCTTTTACCACTCAGAGAAAAGACTTAAACCACACCAACCTTCTGGTGAGGAGCTAAGAACTTAACCATTGCACCAACAGGGGCTACTTGAGATATTGAACAACAGATATTGAATCTAGCAACTCTTAGAGATCTCTGGAGAGCTGAAGTAAAAAACAACTTACGTATCTGCTCCTAGGAAAATTGCATGTGTCAGATACAGAATTTTGTATAGAAAGTAAAAAACAACTTACGTATCTGC